GCGCAAGATATGGACCTTTATGGTTGTTGGTATATATATATATATATGAGTCTCAGGACCAAGTTAATATGATGGCTAATAGATGTACCACATATGATCTTAGAATATGAATGTGAATATGAACGTGTATAAGAATTTGTTTATGATATAAGCTTTGATTTTTAACTCTGTGTTGGACATCATTCATTAAAACCCCTTTACCTTGTTATTATTCACTGGGCTTCCGCTTACTATTTATTTTTATGTATGTAGGTGAACAGGCACGTGACCAGGCCTAAGTTGTTGCCTGGCAAGTTCTGGAGTCAGCCAGCTGTCATGCCTCCCGTGGAGGTTCCCCTTTTGAGATCTGACCAAGTTTTGAGCCTTTAGGATTTTCTTGCACCTTCTGACGTTTGTGTTTAATTTGAACATGTTTTGGAAGTTCTGCATATGTGGCTCCGGTGACGTGTGACTAATGCATTTTGACGTCACATCTATATATATAAATATAAGTTGGTTTTTGAAAATTTTCTGTCCTACGTATGTCTGCACAGCTCTATGGACTATGTATGTTTAGTATATTTGCTTTCGCAGTCCCTGTTTATATATATATTTCTATTCAGAGGCCTTTGGTAATCCAAGGATTACTGGTCGAGTACGATGCTAAACCTATAGGGGCGGGTTTGGGTCGTGACACCATTGGTCCCTGGTACTCGTTTGTCCTAGGCCTCTTTTGCTGGGCTTGATACACATGCTGTAAATGCCTCACCTTCTGGATCTCTCCTCGCATGTCATTCTCATTAACCTTCGAGTGAATTACATTGATCACCCGAGGTCCATCTGCTTGTTGCGGCGACGATGGTAGACGTGATGCTGCTGGTGCTGGGGAAAACCTAGTATGTTCCTCTTTGGTCCTGGCCTCATCCACTAGGTCCCTCAGGTGACCCTGCCTAACCAGGTCCTCTAAGTGTGTTTTCGGGGCCCTATAGCCTTGCGTTAAGTGTTCATCCTCATTGTGGTAAGCACAATGCTTCCCAATGATCTTACCTATGAACTCGCCATGAACCTTTTCTGGGGCACTGTAGTGTGGTTGGTTCCTGATCCTCTCCAGAACTTTGTCGATCGGGATTTTGAACACAGTTGTGACTGCCTATGCAACCCTCAAACTTGTCTCCTGCTTGTTAAATCAAGAATTACCTCAGCCTCGCTTCGGCGAGCTGTTCCTCTTCTATTGCTTTGGTGTCTTTGTTCCTTTTGTATCCTCCTTTACTCTGGCATATTTCTCAATTCATGCCATGAGCTCCTCCATATTTTTGGTAGGGTTCTGGCAAATGACTGTTGTAAAGGGCAATAGTCTTCCAGGCCGTTTTTGAAAGATACGATCGCCAACTCCTAGTTATACGTCGGTATTCGGTCGAACACCTCATAATACCGCTTGGCATATGCCCTGAGGCTCTCTACTTCTTCAATTTTCAAAGCCAGTAGAGTATCTACCCTTAATGGCTGCAATTTGTTTATGACAAACCTGGCCACAAACATTTCGGCCAGGTTCTTCCAACTTTTCACAGTTCTTTTCAGCAATTTGCGAAACTAATCCGATGCAATCTCCCTAAAGGATAAGGGGAACATCTTGCACAACAACTGCTCATATCCACTGTACAAAGCCATAGAATTCATATACAAGCCGACATAAAAGTTAGGGTCGAACTTGCCCTCGTAAATTTGGAACCTCGGCATCTGAAATCTTTTCGGGGCTTCAAATGTATCCAGCTCCACTGAAAATGGTGTCCTCGGTTTGATTGGAGATGTGATCTCGGCGTCATGCCGCTTCCTCTGAAGGTAGTCTCTAAAATCCTCATTTGTTCGGTCGGGAGCCTAGCTATTAACATACTTCAGCCTTTTTGGCGTGCTGCTCCCGGTGTCATTGTGCGTCTTAGATTTCCCCTCATTCTCCGTATCAAAGCAGAGTCCTTTTCCTTGGATATGCCGGGATTCTTTGACATAAGTCCTCTTGGTTTGCTATGTCCTCTGTGACTTACCCTTGATTGACTCTGCTCGCCCAACATCGCGCGAAGGCTGATATGAACGCTTCTTCTCCTTTCCGTGCTAGTGGACTATTGGGATTGCCTTGGGCCCTTCTTTCTGGGCATCAGTCTTTGCTGCTGGCATCAGCGTATCCTGTAACGGAAATGGTGGCTGTATAACGTTGTTTTGCATCATGAAGTGGACCATTGACTGAAGGTTGGCCAACTTTTTTCCCCATCTCTTTCATTTCTCCTTCTCTCCTAAGGCATCTATCCTTCCATATCTGGAGGTAGTTTTCATTGTAGTATTCTTCTCGACCGACTTTCTTTGGGGCATTGCCGACATCCTTCTCCCAAGGATTTGGATCCTGTGTTTCCTTGCTAGAGTTCTCCTCTCCGATGTTTAGATCTATATGTTCGCCACTCTCATTGTTGATGTCATCCCTGACCTTTTCTTTCTGTGCGTCGTTGGCCATCTATTTCCTTAAGATTCCCACAGACGGCGCCAAATTGTAGGTGTTGATTTTTGACCACATAACCAAACAGGGAACTCAGCTGGAGAGCGACGGCAGAATAGATTAAGCCCGAACAACCTGTCACAGAAATATAAAAATACTGCGGTGGTTCTTCTACCTTGGGGCACTCTGATGATCAAGACAGTAATCAAACATCTCTCAAAGATAGCTAAATGCGCTTAAACTCACAAAAAAAGACTTACATTTCACCCACGAGTGTACCATGTTTTTATAGCCATTAGTGCCCAACTCCCCTAGAAGTCTTACTTCATGGGATTCTGGCACATAATGCTTATCTTGGATTTCTAGCTAGATAGGGATAAACACCCTAAGAGCTTTGACTTTATCTAGACTAGGGCCCTCTTTCATCTAAGATTCTTCCCCCCTTATCCGTTTATCTCGGATTCCGGTATTTCCGCAGATAACCTCGGCCCAGCCGAGATCATCTTAACAATTCGACCAAACCATGTGGCATCTCGACTGACACTTCCGCGTCATCTTGGCCAATAGTTGTCATTCACAAAATACATCCCCATACTATGTAAAAATCTCTGTTTGGCTAACACTCTGTTTGGATGGAGGGATTCGGTTTGAGAATTGGAAACCCTTTGTTTAGATGGTTAAGTAAGGTGATAGATGGTGAGAAATGAATTCTCACCATACTTGTTTTTTATTTTTTACCAAAAATGATGAGATTTGATGAGAAAAGAATTCAATTTAATCAAACTTATTTAAACACATGAAAATTATCCTTATAAAAAAAATAAATTATTAATATAAAAAATTATTTTGATAAAATAAAATAAAATAAAACATTTTTTTTGTCTTTTAAATCAATTTTCATTTTCTATTTGTAAGGAAAAATAATTTTTGAAAACTATAAAAAGCCCAATGCTGATGAAGTTTAGGGGTGTATTCTTTACAGAGAATTTGCCACCAAACTGGCATACTTTCCGTATGGGCATCTCTAAATTTAAAAATTATTTCCGCTAATAATAAATTATTTTCACTAAATTAGTTTTTAATTAATTTATATTTTTTTTAAAATATAAAATCTCAACCAAACAGAACCTGGCGAAAAAGCAAACCCCCATGGGGTGTTTGGGAAGCCAAAATATTGGCTTTTTTTATTATTAAATTTCACAAAATGATAAAAAAAAAATATTAAAATAATTAATAAAATAAAATATCACATCAAATCATAATCATTTTATTTTTTTTTATAAATATTATATTCAGCTACAAAAAAAAAATCAATCCTCTTCCAAATTCAAATATTTTAATATATCAAAATAATTAAAAATTAAAATAACTTACTAAAATAATCAACTTTTCAAACGGGACAATGCATCTAGAGATACAAATAGAAAGGTAGGTACGTACGAATTCTATCCAAAAGCAAAGAAAAAGAATCATAATAATTATATTTGTATATTATATCCTAGAATTCAATGAAAAGTTCAAAAAATGGATGGAATACAAACATTGGGAGAAATAGAGAGATAGAGAGAGGGGTACAATAAAATCACTGAAACGAACTTGAGATTTCCTCATCTGGGCGAGAGAGGTGAGGTCTACACCACCGACTGAGATCCGCCGTGACAATAAATATACTCATTGCTGTGATAGACTCACATCATTTTCCTTAATTCAACTTTGGGTTATTATGTGGTTATGTTGGATAAATTTGAATTATATATTAATATTTTTAGATAATTTTCAGATAACATTCTTGAATTTGTAATATTACTCAATTTTTTTTGACAATCAGCTAAAAAGTCATATTTAAAACGGCTAATTTCAAATTTTATTCTTGAATTATTATTAAATTGTGTACTTATTATCTAAACCATCCATTGATTCTATGGGGTTCTTAAAATATATAAATTAAAGTATACTTAATCTTTAAACAAGCAATTAAATTAATTAAGTTTTCAAAATATTTAATTCAAACTTATTTAATCCATGAAAATATTATAAAAATAAAATATAAATTCACAAGTATTATAAAAGGGGAAATTGCAAATACATAGAATAGTGGAGAAATTATTGCACTATAGATGAAATTTTTTGTGATACAACTTTGACACACCGTGAGCCTTGCATCATACACAAAATACAATTACACCACCATGAAAATGCAAATGATTCTTCACAATCCATTGATTTGATAATGATTTTTTTATAACTCGGTAATGGACTGACTGATCATCGGACCGATCTTACCATTCACTAATGAGAGGTCCAATTGGATTTGATCTTAAAAATTATTTGCGTTTGAACCTGAGACCATAATGAAAGCTACTTGCCTAGACCCCAAGTCTTTGACCACCAGACCAAACAGTTTGCAATACTACTAATGATAGACACGCAAACATTCAACATAACCACAAAATTCAAGCACAGACCAAAGAAAGAAAGAAGGAAAAAAAAAAAAAAAGAAAAAAAAATATTGAAATCGTGCAGAAAAGATAATTGTTACCTTGGTCAGTGCAAAAAGAAGAAATCTTTAACTTCTTCTGAGGGTTGGAAATGTCTGATGGAGAAGAAACAAACCCCAAAAGAACTAAAAGAAAAGATGAGAGGAAGTGTAAAAATCTGTAACTTCTTCTGAGGGGTTGGAAATTCTGATGGAGAAGAAATAAACCCCAGAAGAACTAAAAGAAAAGATGAGAGGAAGTGTAAAAATCTGTAACTTCTTCTGAGGGGTTGGAAATTCTGATGGAGAAGAAATAAACCCCAGAAGAACTAAAAGAAAAGATGAGAGGAAGTGTAAAAATCTGTAACTTCTTCTGAGGGGTTGGAAATTCTGATGGAGAAGAAATAAACCCCAGAAGAACTAAAAGAAAAGATGAGAGGAAGTGTAAAAATCTGTAACTTCTTCTGAGGGGTTGGAAATTCTGATGGAGAAGAAATAAACCCCAGAAGAACTAAAAGAAAAGATGAGAGGAAGTGTAAAAATCTGTAACTTCTTCTGAGGGGTTGGAAATTCTGATGGAGAAGAAATAAACCCCAGAAGAACTAAAAGAAAAGATGAGAGGAAGTGTAAAAATCTGTAACTTCTTCTGAGGGGTTGGAAATTCTGATGGAGAAGAAATAAACCCCAGAAGAACTAAAAGAAAAGATGAGAGGAAGTGTAAAAATCTGTAACTTCTTCTGAGGGGTTGGAAATTCTGATGGAGAAGAAATAAACCCCAGAAGAACTAAAAGAAAAGATGAGAGGAAGTGTAAAAATCTGTAACTTCTTCTGAGGGGTTGGAAATTCTGATGGAGAAGAAATAAACCCCAGAAGAACTAAAAGAAAAGATGAGAGGAAGTGTAAAAATCTGTAACTTCTTCTGAGGGGTTGGAAATTCTGATGGAGAAGAAATAAACCCCAGAAGAACTAAAAGAAAAGATGAGAGGAAGTGTAAAAATCTGTAACTTCTTCTGAGGGGTTGGAAATTCTGATGGAGAAGAAATAAACCCCAGAAGAACTAAAAGAAAAGATGAGAGGAAGTGTAAAAATCTGTAACTTCTTCTGAGGGGTTGGAAATTCTGATGGAGAAGAAATAAACCCCAGAAGAACTAAAAGAAAAGATGAGAGGAAGTGTAAAAATCTGTAACTTCTTCTGAGGGGTTGGAAATTCTGATGGAGAAGAAATAAACCCCAGAAGAACTAAAAGAAAAGATGAGAGGAAGTGTAAAAATCTGTAACTTCTTCTGAGGGGTTGGAAATTCTGATGGAGAAGAAATAAACCCCAGAAGAACTAAAAGAAAAGATGAGAGGAAGTGTAAAAATCTGTAACTTCTTCTGAGGGGTTGGAAATTCTGATGGAGAAGAAATAAACCCCAGAAGAACTAAAAGAAAAGATGAGAGGAAGTGTAAAAATCTGTAACTTCTTCTGAGGGGTTGGAAATTCTGATGGAGAAGAAATAAACCCCAGAAGAACTAAAAGAAAAGATGAGAGGAAGTGTAAAAATCTGTAACTTCTTCTGAGGGGTTGGAAATTCTGATGGAGAAGAAATAAACCCAAATAACATTATTTTTTTGATATTTCTCGAAATCAATCGTAAAAACTTTCGTGAAATATTTTTGTAAAAATTTTCGATATTGTAATTAATAAATATCCCCTCTAATTTGATTTTCTAGCTCTACCACTGGTTGTGGATTGGATGCATTTCATATATATACATGGAGGAGATGGTTTGGATGCATTTCATGGGTTGGATGCATTTCATATATATATATATATATACACGGGGGAAGAGAGAGAGAGAGAGGGGTTTGTGGGTTGTGGGTTAGATGCATTTCATATATATACATGGAGGAGATGGTTTGGATGCATTTCATATATATATATATATATATACACAGGGGAGAGAGAGAAAGAGAGAGATAGATGGGTTCGTGGGAGATGGGTTTGTGGGTCGTGGGTTAGATGCATTTCATATTTATATATATATAGAGAGAGAGATGGGTTTCATATCTATATAATATATATATATATATATACACACACCGAGAGGGAGTTCATAGAGAAAGTTCATTTGTGAGAAAAATAGAAATAAAATGACATTCATAAGAAAATTAAAGAAAAAAAATAAATGATATTCTTGTCTTTTTAATAATTTCGTCACATCCCGTCACTTTTACACTTCAGTCAAAAGTACAAAAAATTTATAAGTATATTTATCCATGTTAAAAAAATAATATAAAAACACGTGAAATCACATTAATAAAATGTAATTACCCCTATATGTTACATATGTGGCCGACAACGCACATGGGCTGCCAAGCATCTCTTTGCTTTTCCCATCTTTCTAATGTGTTTTTTTTTAAAAAAACTAACCCACTAGTCATGCATTGTTGGGAGAAAACAAAACAAAACAAATTTGAAATATTCGAATTCGGCACAAAAATAGCGGAAGTGTTTATTCTCCCTCTTTGTGTGAACCTATTAGGAAGCAATTTAATAGAGCACAATATATTCTGAAAATAATCTGAAAACAATGATCCAACAATCACACCACAAGGCGATAGCAATTTTTAACGTGGAAAACCTTCCCGATATGGAAAGGAAAAACCACGGGATCGTAGTCCACCAAATATCTCCACTATAAACAAATAATGGGTATACAAGAGTTCTCTCTAGATAGAACTAGAGGCAAACAATCAAGAACAACTTACAAATAAGCTTCCTTGGCAACCAAAGATCAAACTACAAAGTTTAGGAAAAATCTCACCAAAAACGGTACTGTTCACGGGCCAAAAAACCAGCAGTAAAATACTCCAAATCTGATCTCCACCGTCCAGAATTTAGAGTCTTGAGTTGTGAACTCGCCTACCAAATTTCAGCTTAATCAGACCACAGATTCTTGTTGATCGGATTGCTTGATCACTACTGGATAGAATTTCTCTTCTCCTCTCTGTTTTGGTGGCAGCTTCTATGTCTCTTTTTGTGTAAAGAGAAAGGGTTTGTAATCCTAAACTTATGGGCCAGATCTTTTCAAAAAACATAACCTCTCCATGTGGGCTTTGGAATTCACATGGGCTTACTAAATGTTTTGGGCCTTCCTCCACATAGGATGGAAACCCAACCCAACATGCATTCCCATCATTTCATCTTTTTCTAATCTTTTTCTTTTCTTCATTTCCTCGGCAAACCAATCCGAGGGAGGGGATCTCTCACATTTCCTTCTTCTCCTTCATTCATTCTCTGCATTTCGTTCTCTTCCCCTCTCATAGATGGTGTAGAATAGAAATTTAAAATTTAGTTTGGGAGTGTTTAGAGTGAGGGTTTGTAATTTTATAAAACAGGTGAGTTCTAGATTTTATCAAATCATAGATATCTTATGCCTTAAAATTTCAATCAGAGTTATTTTTGAAGTAATTTCAAATTATCAAAGTGATGGTGACGAAGATAATTATTTTGATATTAATTCGGGTAGTATATAATATGTTTCATTTAAATCTCTTTGCAAAGAGTTTTCTATTTAAATCATTCCCAATTTGTAATCTTCTTGATTATTGTGATCATTGATAAATTCTATAAAGTTATTTGTTGTTGATTCGTTGATTAATCTGGTGATTTGGTAAAATTTTGTGAAGTCATTTTGTGTTAGAAATGGTGATTTGTCTGATTGAATGATGCGAAAATACTCCGTACATGGATCGAGTGGACCCTGCCAATATGTTCTGTACCAATAGCTCGGATAAGTGATTGTGTTTGGGTGAGTGGGTGAGGCTGGTCACTAGTCAGGTATTGAGTAGGGCCGAGTATTTGGTCCTGGATAAATTGTCATATATCAGGTTAAATTGTTGTGCAATTTGGTAAATTGCTTAATTATCGTATCATTGTACAATGTTGTAAATTGTTGGATCCATGATGATTTATTGTCTATTCGAACTTTGTTATTCTCGTTGTATTATATACTTTCTGAATTAATTTATTTTTCAAGTGCAGAACAAATTTTAGCAGAGATCGAAATTGAAATTATAAAGAATTATTTGAGTTAGATTTTGGTTATATAAAATTTTGAAAACAATTATATATAATATATTTTGGAGATACTTGTGTAATTATTATTTTTTGGGGCAAAATTTGTATATTTTGAGGTTGATTTAGTGCAGTAACTACCTGAAAGTGGGTGTTACATAATGGTATCAAAATGTAAGGATTAGATCTTACATGAGATATATTGGGTGGTCGATATTTTTCAGGTTAAAAAAAGGATTGATATTTGAGGTGGAAAAAAAAAGGATTGATATTTGAGGTAAAAAAATAAAAAAAACATTTTTATATTAGAATGCACAGTGAAAACGTGTTATTTGAATATTTAGTCGTTATCAAATTTTGGAAATATTAAGAATTGGAATTTCGGGACGAAATTAATTTAAGGGATTGTGAAATTTCGTATTTTTTAGATATTAAAGTTTTAATAAATGATATTGGTGATTTATTATAATAATTTAATAGTGAAATTTTTAAATGAGAATCTAATTTAAATTATTTATTTATATTTATTTTATCTCTTTTATATCTATCTCATTGTTTTTCATTCTTTTTTTTTAAAATAATTTGATCATTTTTTCCTCACTTTTTCCATCCACTTTTGGTGGAAAAAAGAAAAGCAAAATATATATATATATATATATATATATTTTACGTATGTACATGTGTATGATCAGTGTGCGAATACCACGCAGAAGAAGATAGCAGCAAGATGGGTAAATTGAGACATGCATAAGGCTTTTTTTTTTTTTTTTTTTTTTTTTTTTTTTTTAATTTTTTTGATTTTTTTAAATTACATTACCTTTTTACTTTTTTACATAAAAAAGTTAAAAAAAAAATTAAAAACTCAAATTTTTACCATCTTTTCAAAACACCACTGAGTAATACTAATACTAGAGATCCCAAAATTTTATTAAAATTTTTACCAAATATCTCATATGAGGTGTAACCGATATGGTGTAGATTCAATACTCATGTGAGATTTTTGATAAAAAATTTAATAAAACTTTTGATATTTCTAATATTTTTCATTTTTTTTAAAAAAAAAAAAAAAAAACAAACCACAAACCCACTAATCATGCCTTCCCATCATTTCATCTTTTTTTTTAATCTTTTTTTTTTCTTCATTTCCTCTATAAACCGAGCCGAGTGAGGGGTGCCGCTCACCATTCTTTTTTCTCCTTCCTTCTCTGTATTCGGTTCTCTCCCCCTCTCATAGATTGTGTAGAATAGAAATTTGGAATTTAATTTGAGAGTATTTAGAGTGAGAGCTTGTAATTTTACAAAAGAGAGGAGTTGTAAATTTTATCAAACCATACATACCTTATACCTTAGAATTTTAATCAGAGTTATTTTTGGAGATTTTTGGAGCACTGCAACAAAAAAAGATTTTTACGATGTCAAATGCACACCGTGGATACTATTCTATGACATGCAGCGTCATGTCATATTATGATCAATAATGAAAAATCATTTACTTTCAACAACATGCTAAAGTTACGTCATTAAAAACTATTTAACAGTAGATCTTGTGCGTCGTTTTTACGTTTTCTACGACTACTTTTGCATGCCGTTATTTGGTGGGATAAATAATAACGCTGATTGTGTGCCATAAAATATGTAATACAATGACTTGCTCAGCCTACCGTAGATAAGTAGAGCATACCACAACGTTCGTGGAATACTGTGGAATATTTCATATAATGGCTTAATTTGCTTGCAGTATAATGTGCGTTATTTATTTATTTTTTTTTAATTCAGCAAGTTCTATTTTGACATGTGTTGTACAATCTAACATTATAAACAAGCTTCACAAAATATCAATCAATCACCAAAATATTGTTTCAAGCATAAAAAATAAACTATATCCATAAATTATGGACATTCAAATATTGTCAATATATACATTCTAAACTTCCAAAAACTAACCGCGAGTTTAAAACCATCCAAAAGGACTATCCTTAAGTTCTAAATTATCCAAAAAGTTAAAAACCATCCAAAACTGTACATATATAAGTTTGTAAACATTATCCAAAACTATTCAAAGATTATAGAAATCTATTCATCAAAGTTCTCAAAAACTATCCATAGATGTTAGGATTTCTACTCAAAGTCAAAGCTAATGAAATGTGTTGGCCAAGCAACATTGCTTCCAATAGCATCCTCAAGCATAAACATCTCACGATTAGGGCAAAACAATGGCGCCTTGACTATGACATGGTTAACACATACTTTCCAACACCTAGGGCCAAGAGGCACGTGATGTATCAATACTTTAGAATCTTTTGATGCAATTGTGCCTTCCGCAATCACCATCTTTGTTCCATCCCAATTTAACAATTTGCATTTGGCATTGTCTAAGGATCCATCATTTCCCGTTTCATTTGCATCATGCAACTATCATGAAAGCAATACATAAAATAAGCTAATGAATTGAAGACAAAATTAAGGTTATTATTAATGCCATATACAATTTACCCAAATATCTTCATCGCCCTAAAAAAATTGTAATAC